GGTGTTATTTTGCACATCATGCACCAGTGTCCACGCACACGGTCTAACGCATGGTGGCAATTCAAGTTCGTTAGTATGTGCTAAATAGGATTGTGCGTGATCGCAATTAAAATATGGTAGCTATATATAAAACGCTTATTTCAGTGATTGAAAGGTGTGGGTAGAATTAATAAGGGCATACTTTTACGTACTTGTCTCTTTCTATGCAGCATTATTTGAATCGTCGAGGGGGGTAAATTGAAACACATTTTATCGCTACCACGCAAGTACTAAATAAAGACATTTGTGTCTGTGTCCTGCTGGCTACAATTTTGTAAAGATTTTTACGATCAGAAATATAAAATATAATGAAACAACAGGGCTCTGATCGACCGCAAAATTATGCATTTTTTTTAATACCATAAAAATGAACACTAACTTATCCTATTCTGATATATTATATAAAATAATTCTGGGCCAAGTACAATATATATACAATGTCTGAATTAGTAGTTTGTGTTTCACGTGTATGTTCACCCTGTAAACACCACAATCGTATTTTGACCCAATGGACATTACTTTTCATTTCCGACATGTTTTGGTCAACATTTAGAAAACAAAATACGTTGCTTTATTTTTTTTTTAAAAAGGACGCAACATTTTACTGGGGTGTTCACCAGAGCACATTCCTTCTATTTACAGATAAAGGGACTGTAACCTGAGTGACATTTTTTCGAGGGGGCGATCGTTCCTTCTACCCCCCCCCCTGTGCCGCCGCCACAGCACCACATCATTTGGATAAAAATCCAATACTACAATACTTACTTAAATACTACATATTACATGCAAATGTATATTACATTCACGCCATGCTCTGTCTGTATACAATTTTTGAGTGATTTTTTAGCTGACATTGTTTTTTTTGAACACGAGGCACACTAAAGGCCAGTGAAAAAACAAATTTAACAGATTGTTACATGACTATATAGAAAGGAAGCCTACGCATAATATTGTTGAACGAACATAAAAGAGAGTAACACTGCTGTTCCACAGTATGAATTTACAGCTCTTCCATAACAATGCCGCGTGTACCGATGATAGAAGTAAATATCACGTCGTGATTAAAGAATCATAGAAATAAACTACCATGCTGCATGATATACAATGACAGGGGGGGTGTAACATAGCATTCAGTGTAAATGTTTGTAGTTGTTGCACCGGCCAATGAATGAGATATACGCTATTCTTCTTGAGTAGCACGTTTTTTATGTTTTTGTTTTTTTAAAAACTGCCTCATATACATAGAGGGTTAGCAAGGGGTATTTTCGTAAGCTGTAATCAATTGTTTTTATTTTCGTAATAATGTATTTTAAATAAATAAAACGTGAATTCGTAGACATGGGCAAGATGTAAAATGTAATCAGCTATTTTATTCGTCCGTAATTTGTACAAAGATCTTAATTTGTGTAAGCGTATAAAGCATTTCCCACATTAAATGTCGTAATTCTTACACAATTTCCAATTTTGACTCTTAAACACAAATTATTAAGTATATTATAAAAATGTAAAATGTAATTAGGAACTTTTTACTATAAATGGAACTTTCCATTTTATTTTCTGTAAAAACGTAAAATGTTTTTTTTTTTTTTTTTATTTCCTTGCCCCCTTATACATATGTCACACTGATATTCCATAGGACAAAATCCGGGTGGAATATGACTAGATCCACCTATACGAGAGTACGGTTGGGCTTAATAGTAAAATATACTGTGTTATTGTTTATTTTCAAAAGGCCTTCGATGGGATTAACCAGTATTGTTTTTCAAGTTGGCTACAATTGGTATAACGAGGTATGTAATTTATTCAGGGCAAATTTTTGTATTTTAATGTCAAAGAATGTGTTCACTAGCTGATGTTACTGACTGGTTTAACGGTGAGCTTAATGGGTAACAGGGGAGTGTATTATCTCATTACAGTGTACATGGGAGTGTATTATCTCATTACAGTGTGCATGGGAGTGTGTTATCTCACTACAGTGTACAGGCGAATGTGTTATCTCATTACAGTGTACAGAGGAGTGTGTTATCTCATTACAGTGTACATGGGAGTGTATTATCTCACTA